TCAAAGATAGTGAGATGTCTTATGACGGTGACTGACAGGAATGAAGGGGAATGGTGGCGAATGATGGGGAATGACACCCAATGACAGCAAATGATGCCAAATCACATAAATACAAGAAAAATATATAGTCCGAATTGGCAGTTTGGTGTATATAGAACATGAACGTATTACCGAATAACAGATGTAGAGGATAAGGTTTTAGCGTTTTATGTCGTTTAAAAGCGATGGCTCAGTGAAAAATGGGGAATAACTGGAATTCTGCTGTACTTATAAGTCTTCTATGTAAGTACAGAACTATTTTTTTCTGTGTCTTTCATTGCAGTTGTAGTCGTAATGATATTTTGAAATGGGAAGGCCTCGCTCAAATAATGTGTTATCAATTTTTGGTTTGTCCACCTCGGTTTTTATCGCTTTGAATAGTGCATGAATCATATCAATAAAATACGATATCTTGACATAAAGTATGCGAATTCATGCAGAAAGGTTACACCATATATATCATATTTGTAAATGGTATTTAACAATAACAATACTGTAAAATGATTGATTGAAATACTGAAGACTCAGCGTCCTTGATAATTTATGACGACCCCATAAACAGGATGTAGATTTTTGCCAAATCGAACATTTTTTAAATCTTTAAATGTAAGAATTGACAATGTTTTACTGTAAGATACAGAAATAAGATTATTTCTAACTTATGACTTAATCGCATTTTTATACATACAGCAAGTGTCTCACTCACAATAGCATCAAATATTGCAGGTCAGTGCGTATAAACTAACACTATTTTGGTATATTTAGCATAATGGACCATTGACTCATAGGCCATGATGGCGAGAGGACTAATTGTTTTAGCTATATCCAGCTAGTTGGTCAAATACTTAGATGCAAACAGGTCTTGAATTAAAGTTAAATTCATTCTTTTGGCTTTCAAAGCAGGCACTTAGTAGGCTTTAACTTATAGCCTACTAGTAGTTCATCCAATCAGAATGAAGCATTGATGATAGACTGAAGTTGGATTTGACTAATAGACATTATACACTGAATACAAATATGACGAACAATTTGAATAACTATTGTTCTGGACTGATTAGCCTCTGTAAAACACTGTGAAAACACTTAATTATGTTTCCATGTGAAAACGTAGGCTTAGGTCAGTCCAGAACAATAATTATAATTTCAAATTGATCACCATACTTCAATTCAGTGTATACATAAAATTATTATTTAGCCACAAATGTAAATTTTCTTGCTTTCTGATTGATTGAGACACGACATGGTAGCCAGCCAATCAGTGTGCATGTTTTATTTCAAAATTAATGCTGATTTTATATATTAGGATGTAATGACACTGAGATTTCAATCACCATGCACAATGCAACATCATCTGGGAATCTCTCAAGCCCTAAGTATCCAGACTGGTTCCCAGGAAACGCTTCATGCGTCTGGATTCTCACCTGCCCACCAGGAAGACTAATCAAACTTTACTTGAATGAAGTAATATTCAATAACTCCAGCAAAAAACACTTGTACCTTGAAATCCGTGATGGTGTGAAAGCTTCTAGTCCACTCATCTTGAACATTACTGCTGAAGAGTCCAAACTAAAAGAAAATAATTTTGCGCCTATTATTTATTCATCTGGACAAAAGTTGTCTCTTCATTTGAAAAAAGGATTAAGAGAAGCTAATGGTAGTGTGCGTTTTCGTATTTCTTACAACTCCACAAAACCAGGTAATTTGAATAATCATAACATTTTGAAAAGACTTTTCAAAAATCATTTACACATATCCAAAATATACTCTGCAATAAATATGAAACTACAGTAACATCATTCGTAATGCCCCCTTATATTAGTCTGTGTAATACAATAAGTATTTCTTCTTGTAAAGTTTGATATAATTCTCTAATGTGATGAACTATATATCTTTTACTGTCACTAATGTATTGTCTTACATTGAAGTTACAATAATCCTTGCGTTAACATTTTATATTCTTTCCAAACATCTCTATCAATCCCTAAGGATTGGTGTTTACAAGTATATTTAACAAATAAAAGACCTTTTTCCATGCTTTGTTCAGTAATAAAGCACGCAGGAAGTGACGTAAGCATGAAAGAAGTGTAAGGAGAAGCACAAGCTGTAGGTGAATGTTTCTCACACTTCTTGAGTGCTTACAGCGCTTCCTAACTGAGTGTTTTATTACTGTACGGAGCAGGGAAAAAGCTGTTTTATTTATTTGATTATTTAATAGTTGGTAGTTTATGACTGTTGCATTACTATTAAAACTTACAATATAGCTTATGTTTTTCTTTCACTTAGGCAAATCCTGTTCAGCCAAAAACACTGATGACGAGAATAACAACATACTCTTGACAACTCCATTCCTGTTGACCACGGGAGCAGACTTGCCCTCTGAAGTGGATTGCACTTGGAAAATAACACCAAGTATATTGGGTATCCTAATGAACATCACCCTGAACATAAACAAGAATCTTTTGTGTAGAACAGGGAATGTTTCTATCTTTGATGGACCTTATGGCCCAGCTAGTAAGCTGAAACATAGTCTTTGCCAAGAATCGGGAGGAGTATCATTATTTACCTCTGATGTTGGTTTGTCTTTTCAATTGAAGTCTTCAAATTTCAGCTCTTTTCTTCAAATTCAAGCAACTGGTAAGTTTTTTGAAGTAAATTCTGTAACATAACAAACATTAAGAGGAGTTGTAATCAGTGATATGGAGGGACTGAAGTCATTATTTCAATGACATAATTATAGCAAGAGTAACAGAGCTGGAAGGGTTAGCACACGCCTTTTGTGCCAAGTTATGTTGACATCTTGGCTATGTTGGTGGCTTTTCAAATGAAAGTTTTCTTCTTGAAATACTTGTTTGTTAATACCAATTATATGTCTATGAGAAGTCTTTCAATTTGCAGCTGCATAAGTTTCTTCATATACTGTGAGGATATGCAAGGATAAGATCAATTTGATACATTACAACCGCAGTACAAATATACTGTATTTACTTAAATAAGCCCCTCCCCTGAATAAGTGCTTCCCCTGAATAAGTGCCCCTTTGGGCAAAAAATAACAATAAGCGCATCCCCCCGAACAAGTGCCTCCCACATTAAGGGGGCACTTAACATAAGTGTTTCTTCTCGTCATAGTATACTAATACCATACTAATACTATAGTATACTAATTTTTGTTCAGAGGATGATTGCATTGAGGAGACAAATTCTAGATACATGACAAAAAATTTCCATAAAGGATTACAACCCTTGTCAAGGACTCGATGCCAGAGGAAATTCAGCAATCCTTCAGGTCCTTTGTATATTCAATTCTTCTACTTTCAATTACCTGATGGATGTGAGAATAACAGTGTACAATTGTTCGAATTCCATAAACATTCCAACAAATCGACACTGAGGGCCAAATTCTGTCCACCATTGGAATGGTGGCCTGACATTATCATCTACAGTGGACAAGCATTAATCAAGGTCCAAACAGAAGCTTCTAGTAAAATTAACTTCAAGTATGGATTCTTTACTTATATTCATCCAAGTCTTCGTCTCCCTAGTATTCCGTATTGCTCACAGTATAATAGTCCAGAAGAAAATGCAAACCTTATACTCACTGCTCGTAAAGATTACATTAGTTCACCAGGCATGAAATATTCCTATCCCCCTGGGATGTTTTGCAAATGGATAATTTTACCTTACAACATAACTGAGAAAGAACAGATAAGGATTAAGTTTGACAAATTCGATTTCTCCAAGGGATATGACAAGGATTGTAATCAAGATCATATTCAGGTAGGTATCTGTTGATGTATTTCTTTAATCAGAGACATTGGGACCCAATTTTATAGATATAGTTGGTGGGTAATGGTAAATACTCCTATCCTCTGTCAGTTACCTATTGAAATGCTCGGTATAAACCTCCTCAGCTCTGGCATAATGTTGTCCCATTTCAGACCATGTGTCATTCCCTTGAGAATAATATTCTTTGTTTGAGTTGTATCCATATTCATGAGTCTTCTCATGTGCAACCGAGTGCAAACCTTAAACAAAGAAATGATACTCTAGGGAATGTGGTCTGAAATGGGAAAACATTACCCCAAGCCGAAGAGGTCTATTGGGTGACCTAGCTGTATAAGGCACTATATCTATACAGAATGCATAATGTTATTTTCACAGTAGCTACTGAAGAACATTGATAACATGAATAATAACAACAATAATAATAACAATGATACTAATAATAAGGCAAAAATACATTTAGATATGCCACTGCAGCAAATAATTTGTTTGTTTGTTTCTTATAAGCTTGACTTTGGTAATGGAAGAGTACAGAGATACTGCAAGGCAACTGGTGATCCACGGATCATTTATTCAGGGGATGCAAAGAGCTTGAATGTAACATTTGTATCCACACCCCTGTACACTGCAAATCGGGGCTTCTTGATCACATATGATGTAGTTCTGATTGGTAAGTAAAAACGTTTTTTTGGAAAACATGATAGCACATTTTCTTCTTTTTTCTTGGGGGACTCACAATCATAAAAAAAGACAAATTTCCTGCCATCTGCCAATTCTGGTGTCTTGTGATATTGGCAAACTTTTTATTTCTGTTAATTGGATCTGAAACCCAACCTATGAAACTACATGGGAAATATTCTATTTGTATAAGATTCCAGGTGGTTGGACATTTGATGCAGGTTGCAATGGGTGTGTTTGGGTGTAATGGGGTGTTTGGGTGTAATGGGGTGTTTGGTGTAATGGGGTGTTTGGGTGTAATGGGGTGTTTGGGTGTAAGGGTTGTGTTTGGTTGTAAAAGGTGTGTTGAGTGTAAGGGGTGTTTTTGTTTGACAGGGGTATGTTTGGGTGTATGTGGTGTGTTTGGGTGTAAGGGATGTGTTTGGTTGTAAAAGGTGTGTTGGGTGTTAGGGGTGTGTTTGCTTGATAGGGGTGTGTTTAGGACTAAGGGATGTGTTTGGGTGCATTTGGGTGACCGGGGTTTTTTTTGTTTGGGTGTATGGGATGTGTTTAAGTGTTAGGGGTGCATTTGGGTGAAAAAGGTTTGTTTGATTGACAAGGGTGTGTTTGCTTGTAAGGGGTTTTGGTGTTAGGGGTGCGTTTGCTCACAAGGGAGGTGTTTGGGTTTAATGTTTTTTTACTTCAGGTTAGTGTGATTCCCTCAAGAACAAGACTCTTTGTTTGCATGAGTTGTACCCACATACAAAGCCTGAAAAGGAAATACAACGTACAAGGAATTAGGTCTAGTCTAAAGCCCTATAAAACAATTTTTATATTTTCTAGTTCCTGCACCCCCTCTTCGTCAATTTTTCTCGTGGACTGTCATTGGTGTTCTGATTGGAGCGGGCTGCCTTCTTATCGCATGTATTGCATTCGGCATTTATCGATGGAAAAGGAAAAAACAACACGATAAGGTCATGCAACGAATCACAAACGAAAGGGATGAGCAAGAAGACACCCTCCCAGATGAAGTGGCGACGGCCACGCCCACACATCAGGGCCCCCCTCCCCCATACACAGGGATAGGCGAAGAATCCTATCTGATGCAGCAACCTAAAGAAGACCAACCCTATCCGTGGTTTAGCCCTGGTACGACTGTCATGGAACACAGCCCACGCGAAAGAAGACCTGGACCCGAAATGGAATCGGAAGTGTAACAATGTAAATCGATGTTTCAATCAAAACCAAAAACTACTGTCAATATGTCGGCTCCATCCGCCATGCTTGAAAGTCTCGTTTCACAAGAGCAACTAGAATATAACCGAGCGACTCTAAAGCAAGCTTGCGGCTCAATCCGAAAGCTTTCATCTAATAAATTGAAAACTTTACAGTTACACAGATTACAAACTGTGTGATGGTCTGGTTATGGCTGTGGGCTGGCGACAAGTTTCTGCAAATCAAAATACAAATGACATTATTGCATACTGGTTTAATATCGTGTTATTTAAAGCATAGTGTTGTGTAAAGTGTATACAGTTTGCAGGAAAAATATTATATATAAAGGTCTTTAAAGCGGTTTTTAAACACTACATAGGTACATTATATGGGTAGGAACTTGTAGATAAATTGAATCACCGTAAAAACTGTGTGAAACTGACGTTTCGGACGTTAGTCCTTCGCCGGAGTAAGTGTTAGGCCCGGAGGGGGGTACTCCGCCAGGATTTGGGTAGGTGTGTTCCGCTGGGATTCTGAAAGGGGTACCAAATTTGAGTTTTTTTGGTTATGACAAAAAAACTCAAATTTTCTAGACCCTGTTTATGACAAAAGATATAATTAATTGCACTGAGTTCCTGTTTCAATTATCATGCCAGCTCGCGTATCTCTTTTTGAAGACCATAGTAACCAGTTTCGGTCAATACGAAATTAGAAACCCTGAATATGACAGGAAACTCAGGAAGAACTTGGAACTTGAGTGAAATTGCATACCCTGTTTATGATAAGAAGCTTGAAAAACCATACCCTGTTCAGCGGATCATTCCCGTATAGTCCATATATGGGAGTACCCCCCTCCCCCCCGGGTGTTAGGGCTAAAGATTCTGTGTGAAGTGAAGGACTAGCGTCCAAAACGTCAGCTTCACAAAGCTTTTTACGGTGATCCAATTTATCTACAAGTTCCTGCTGTTTTATTCAGAAACACCGACGCAGTCCACGCTAGTACTCTACTAGTTATCACCACTCATTATATGGCTAGGTTAGTTTAGGAAAGTTATTTTATTTTATCGATTTTTTAACAATCTTAATCCCCCAGAGAAAACGCATAGCGCAGTAGAAACATGAATGTTATATTTTTTACCAAATAGAAAATAGAAACTTTTTACCTCATGCATAAATATTTATTGTCAATTTTCTTAATTATTGGGTTGCCTGTGGCAGCCAATAAGGACAGTGTCTGTATTCGTACCTATATTATAGTACTAAAAATATTGAATCCACTAAATTAAAGTCCCGATTTTGAGGATATAAAGTTGACACGCTGGAAATGATAGTAAAAGTCCATGAAAATATTCATCGCGTAATATTTGGAAAACGCTCTCATACATTTATTTCATATTGCAATATGTTGGGAGCCTTGATGAATACTACCGTCGTGAGCTCGCGACGGTGGGCGAATGGAGGTCACGTACCTCGTCCCAGTCCTAAATTAACTCACGTCTGTAGTCGGCGTATCTTAAAGTCACTAGTTTCGATTGGTGCAAGTCGCTTTGAAAGTTTAGTTTTCGAGAAAATAATAAGCGGTAAACGATTTCTATGATGTCATCATTACGTCAAAATCCTTTCGTGACATTGTGTGAAAAGAGCTTGCTCATTGAATTATTCAAGACGAAGTTGTAGCCTTTTCAATGCGGCTAGGTGTGGTAGACCAAAACTAATTAAATATATCAGTGTTTCCAGAAACGCTTTAAGAGTTCTCTGTCGGGGTTTACGAGGAAAAAACTAAAGTGTCGCTTGGTAAATATTTATTGGGTAAGTAGATTCGACGTGAACAACTTCCCAGTACAGTTTGTGCTTTTATGGGTTGTTTAGAATACGTTTCGATCTGAGTTGGCAATCAAACCTCCATGAAATATTACAGTATATTTCATCTCCTCTCCCTCATCATTTTGTCTCATTCTCCCGCAAATTTCAGCCGCTTAAGGTGGAACCAAACTTTGAGCGAACTTTGGACAATTTTATTCTCGCTCCCTTCGCAAAACTAGTGCGTCAATTTAACTGGATTTTTCATATAATGTGCTTGGATTATCGTAGATTCTAACAATGATTTTGAAAAATGTTTTCTCCAAAATTTGGATAGGAAAGGCTGTAAAATTTCACTACCATCTAGATAAAGCTCTGGTCTATTGATGTAGGAAGTTTAAAGAAAAAACTTGGAGCCGTTTTCAAGAAAACGGCGAAAACACGATTTTTAGCAAAACTCTCATTTTTACAACGACAATTAGGTTTACAACGACAATTAGTAAAAAAAAAACATTTATTCGATGAGTTTTTAAGAATTGATGCTGATTTTTCGTAAGGCTCATCTGCAATACTATAGGAAAAAGACATGTGAAAACTTTAAGGCAATCCATTCAATGGTAATGTTTCTACAGCGCGATGTTTCATATGCTTCAAATTTTGGATCGAATTTTCAAGTGCCGTCATAACTTTTTTCTGCCCAAGACTTTCCATCCAAATTTATACAGACTGCAATAGTACTAGATGATAAGATTCTGAAAATTTCAGAAAAATCGTACCTCGTAGGATGAGGAGAAAAAAGCCAAAAACTAAAAATAACACTGTTTGATTTTCGGCCGTAATAGGCTTAACATTTAAAAAATCTTAAAATAAAATACACTGTTAGAATCTAGGATCATCCAAATACATTATAAGAAAAATCCAGTTAAATTGACGCACTAGTTTTGCGAAGGGAGCGAGAATAAAATTATCCAAAATTCGCTCTCAATTAGTTTGGTTCCACCTTAATGGGCCCCATCGGGGAACAGAACTAGAATATCATTTATCCATATATTATAAACTAATTATGATTTTTACGGCTATAGTTGTGAGAAAATATATTTCGTATTGTGGTGGAGTCGCGTAGCGACGGAGCCCAATACGAGAATATATCTTCTGCGAACGCCGTCAATATTTTGTGGTATTGCCGTCTCAAAATCGTAATCCGTTTTGTATTGCGATTCCTGCAATTTTTTGGTTTTTTTTTTTTTTTTTTTTTTTTTTTTTTTTTTTTTTTTTTTTTTTTTTTTTTTTTTCATGATGTGCAATTTTGATGATGAAACAATAAATTCTCCCAACGTAAAAATTCCTGTTTCTTTAACAATCATCGATCACGCAAGCACTTTTTTCACTTAAGTCGTTTTGAACGGAAACAAAATCATTCAAGCAAACTTGAAATCAAATTCTTTACATTTTGTGCGTTCTTCATCAAACTCACTCAAAATTCAAGTTTACCACTGGAAAAAAAGGAGGGAAGCTATTGTTAAACAAAAGATAAGTTTTTCTCGATAAAAAAATGTTCGTTTCAAAATATTTATCCAAATTTCAAAAGCGAGTGAATTTCAAAAACGGTTTACAATTGTATTGAGCAAAAAGGCTGTAATATCTTCAACTTACTTAAGCAGTTACTTTACGAAGATGCTTTTGGCAATTTCAAGTGCTCAGTTGGTCTTTTTAAGTCTTTTTTTACGCCTTTTTACGGTAAAGTCGTTCTTCAAAAAAAATTTTTTGAGCCGTTGCTCTTTTTTTTTTTCGCAAGAAGCGGCGAGAAAATGACATGTCTATCTTGTGGTTGGTTCATATCAGATGATGTGCAAAATCGTGCAATTTAGAGCTTAAAATCGTGCAATTTAGAGCTCAAAATCGTGCAATTTAGGCTGAAATCACTGCTGCAGGGAACCAATCAATTTGCAGGATTTGCTTGTGATTTCAAAATGGATGTAATAATTAACCGCGAGATGAGAGCAACCCACATCAGGACTGATGAATCCACATCAGGCTATAGTCCATCAAAATTTCAAAAAGCCGATTTTCATTAGCTTAACGGTAAACCAGGTTGAAATACTGTTAATCACTGACCCAAGACGGGGTTGCTCACCATTTAAACTAATTCATCCGGTTGGAAATTAATTCGCTAATGGTAAGAAAAGAGCGGGAAACTTTGACTTTCGAAAAATGGTACGCGCGTCTTCCGGAAGAACTAAAAAGAGCGGGAAAAGTGGGTTACCTCAATTATAAGACCGAGTTTTCCGGAACTTTCCGAATTGACTGACACATACCATTTGTTTTCCAACCGGAATTCAATCCAATTCCGTTATCACTTTCTTTTTATTTTCTCTTCCTGAAAAAATTTTTTTCGAAGAGAGCTTAAACGTTATCATGGGTTGGTTATTATGTATGATTTTATTTTTATTTTTCTTAGTTCTAGACTCTTGTCGAGACAATGTTCTTGTCTTGGAGCTATTTTGGGGTCATTGTGCTCTTAACCTGTCTGTATCAAATTGCACTATCTGGTAAGTACAGGCACTCCGCGCTACCATTTACATATCATATTTCAACAAGACCAGTCCAGTTTCAACATTCTGGCTCGCATAAAAAAAACTATTTACTTAATGTTTCTTTTTATATGGTTTTGGTTTTGATTTACTCTGTTTGAAGTCTCTATATATTTCTGGCTTTTATGACTGATTGGTTGATTAGGACATTGTTATATTTCCTTTATAGATCATCATTCAACAATGGTCGCAAAAAGAGACGCCTCGTGTGGAGCAGGACTCAGTAATTAATTACTACCATTAATTGAAATATGAATTTAAAAATTGGGACTTAGCAGTGTCTTTGTTTTTTTTTCTCCCTCCACAATAATCAACCTCTAAATTCTAATTTGTTCTATCGGCTGCCTTATCAATTGGGTTACAACACCTTTTAATCATTAAGCCGTCCACCCAGAAGTGGTAAATGCATTAGATTTAGATTTAGGATCTTCTTAGAGGAAAACCGTGRCAAAYCTTGTAGTATAGAAGAGGAAGAACAAGCAACACAACTGGCTTTKTCCCAYAATTCCCCGATGCTGCCCTCGTACTATTTTTTGTCAGTGTAACTACCAATTCTAATCCCCCCTTTTTTTCAGCCTGTGGTCCCGACTGCCAGGCTCTTTGTGTTGCAATGCACAATTACTATCGAAAACTGCACGATGCACCTCCCTTGTCGTGTGATCCAGAACTGGCCAAGTCAGCCCAAGAATGGACCGACGAACAAGCACGAGCAGGCAACATGCACCATTCAGAATGGACGGATAAGTTTACTGAGAGCATCTCATGGAAAGGTTGGGGATGGGAAGGGATGGAGAAGATGGAAGGAGCCATCCCAGGTGCCATAAGGGGCTGGTACTCTGAGATCAAAAATGATTATAACTATGCTACAGGGAAAGGGAATGGTCAGGCTGTTGGTCACTTCATGGCTGTAGTATGGAAAGGAGAGACCAAAATAGGCTGTGGGTTGAACATCAAGGAAGGCGATGGGACATACGTGACAGCTCATTATGCACCTGCCTCGCATGTTAATGTGAATTTTGAACTGGTTCCAAAAAATGTCTTACCGCGTAAAGACCCAGGTAGGGACACACGCTAAAAACTTTCCTAATTATTCAATTCGTTTGTTTAAGGCCGAATCCTTTTTATGAAATTTAATATTTTTTCTCATATTGTGAACTCAGATCCAAAATGTGATATCCGTTCATCGGAACGTAAAGATTGCAACGCAGACCTGAAGGCCCCATTCGTGACCCCTGAGGAATGCCTTAGCGCTGGCTGTTGCTACGATGATATGTTCATGTCCGAACCAAGTGTAAATTTCTACGGAGCAGAAGGCAGAAATTGGTGCTTCGTTCGTAAAGGAGGTGAGTCAATATATGCAATAAAAAAGTTAATATTCTGACAAACCATCAAGCTCAAGGACAGACCTAAGGTTTCAGTTCTCACGACAGTCACTTGCTTTGTGTTTTCCTAGGAGCACCCTCTCCCACTAAAGCACCAGGTGCCCAAACTACAAAAGCAACAGGTAAACCATACAGATTTTTTTGTCGATTGGATGTTTTTGCCTTGAACACCCTTACCTTTAATGATATTAGGGGATACCCTTGCCACCTTTTTCGGTTTAATTTTTTTTTTTTTTTTTAAATTGCATTTGCAGGTGCTCCTGGTGTTACTGAGTCCCCTAGAGGTGGTCAAACAACAGGTGATACTATATTGTGTTTTGCCACAAACGTCCTTCATGGATGTACATTCTAATTAACGGCATGTTCTTTCATATCAATAGCCACATTTCTTAGTTTACTTCATATAAATTGTATTTTCAGGTGCTCCTGGTGTTACTGAGTCCCCTTGAGGCAAACAAACAGAATGTTAACTTTAAAGTGCTACTACGACGAAAATC